TCATAAAGAAGGAGATTTCATCTATTTCCGACCTCTCTCGCTCTCATGGTTGTTTTTCCTCTCCTGAAGGGAAAACTAGCGCAATAGGAACTCTTGCTGCGATTTTTTGAGGAACGATGAAAACTAATGGCGTTCATTGTCGTTGATGACAAATCTGAGAGAGAGAAAAAATTAGACTCTCTTACGGCAATCGGTTTCATCTTCACCGTCTCCGCAGTCATCCTGTCCGTTACACCGCAGGTTTATAGGGATGCACTTTTGCCGGTGAGTGCACTTAAACTGGCCAGACAGGCAGATATACGAGTCTGAAAGCAGATGCAAACAAGGATATCATTGTATGATGCATCATACTGCATTATGCTTGGTCTCCATGTATCTATCCATCAATCTATAATTACCACAGTTGGCTTCATCGGAGTTGTCTCCGCAGTCGTTCTCTCCATCACAGATGAAGGGAGGGAGGGCACACAAACCCGTTCCACACTGGAACCTTCCGGGCTGGCATTTAAACTCCGCTGTAAACAAATGAGAGGACAAATCAGTAAAACAACTAACCAAGAAAGAAAGAAAGAACTAACGCAAGACAGAAAAATAAAGAGTTTTAAAAGTATAAAAAAAAACAAAAAACAACAACAGAAGTAGTAAAACAAAAAACAAACGGAAGAAGAACAGACAAAACAAAAAGGGAAACAGAATGAACAAACAAAAAGAGGAAAGAAGCCAGAAAGAAAACTAATGAAAAACAGACATAAACTCATGGAAAATGACAGAACAAAGAATGAATACATGAACAAGGAAATAACTAAACGGAAGAAAGACAGCCAAATGTATAATAATGTACAAATAACAAAAAAAGACAAACAAAGAAAGAAGGGTTAAGGTCATGAAAGAAAGAAAGAAAGAAAGAAAGAAAGAAAGAAAGAAAGAGCCTGCTCCCACAAACAAAATCCCCCCCCCCACCCACCCCGGTCGGCATCCTGCCCCCACTGTCCTTTTAATTAACTAAAATATGGTCACCCTATGTGTCTCAAATGGTGGCTTGCAAGTCCACAAAAATAATTAGCGTAGCAGTCAGCAAATTAGCAAGATTTCACCACAAAAAGAAATATAACTTCTATACGTGTAGTTCTTTTAGCAAACTAAAAACTCTTGACTGTAAATGAAAAATGGGGGTCCTAAAAGCAATCCATTTGAAAACCGCTGAGCTAGACTTGTCCATTATTGCTAATTATCAGCGGGCTACATAACCGCTCATTAACGGCACTTCAAACTCCCCAAAAATGGCAAGAAAAGTTCCCAAAGGAAGTCGTTTTACAAAAAAAAGGCACTTCACAACATTTCACTGCTCATACTGATCACAGAAACTGCCTGTTTGGCATAAACAATACTCTTCCCAGCTGGCAGATAATCCAGCGCTTTTAATCATTTTCGCTCTCGGTTGCTGGTGCCCCCTGCCTAGCGCTTTAAGAGTAAGAGTAACATTCTGCAAGCTGATGAACATTAGAGATGAACATTAAAAGACATTTTGCCTCAGACTGGGTCTTACCATCAGCGCTAATTAAAACTAGCCTAGCCGTGATGAATTTCGACATCTTCACAGGTTTTCTAGATGCTGTGCTCATCAGGGAAACTAACATTTTCAGGTAAATGGTACAGAATCACAGGGTGGAGATACACCACAGGGTGAAAGTGCACAAAAAATATGAAACAGGTAAGCAAAACAACACCAACAAAACATGGCAAACTCAATTACTAAGTCAATTAAGTCAAAGCTCCATAATGCATGCAAAAATAAGCGCACACATTTGGATTTTTGTCGAATGAGAGAAGTATGTGACCCCAAGTTTACTTGTATAGTGCATTTCCAGCATACTTTAAATAAATTTGTTTAGGCTTGATGTTTATGATAAAAGTTGTTTATAATGAACATTATCATTTATGATTGTTTTCTAAAAACGTATCTAAAATACGTTTATTTTTTTTATAATGTTTGGAAATATTTCTTTTTATTTATAGGTATTTTACATTATTTTTGAATGCAATAAAATTCAGTTTTTTTTTACTCAATAATTTAATTCCGACCTGGTGACTCTTACTCTTACAACTGAAATAATAAAACTTATTAAACCTGCAATAAGAAAACTGGTTGAAAACTAATACAATAAAATTAATACAACTTAATTTAAAATAAAAATACAAAAATATAAGCAAATCCTAAATAGTAATAAATATTATCATAGTATATACTGTTTTCATACTAAAACTCTGAACATAACTATTAAACGTATTATAATAAAAAACTAAACATAATTAATTATTTTATTTTAGATAACATTTCGGAGCTTCATGTATATTAGTAATTTAGTTCAAATATTTCTAGTTTTTCTTTTTTCTCTCCACCAGTTTTTACAAAAAAATATTTTGTAATTTGTTATTAATTTCTCAATAAAATAAAAATGTTTTGGAGGCAAATGTTTTTAGGTCTTGTTTACATTTTCAAATTCTATTTAAGTTGATGAAAGTGTCTTTTTTTCATAAAGAAAATGTTCATGTTCACATGTTTATTTCTGATATAACATTATTATTGATAGAGATATAAAGCAAGTATAAAGAGGACAGGATAGTGGGAAGATTGTCACCAGTAACTGTTGCGAGCCAGACTCGAACTTCGTTTGCCCACATGAGTATTTATCTGCTAGGCCACATATTCTGCAGCTATTAATATTTAATAAAAAAAGTAAATCATTTGATCTTTTCAAACCATCCATTCCATTTATTTTAAGCAAACGGAAGCATTTTATGAAAGCATGAGTCACAAAAATAATAATAAAAAACAGCATCAAACCTCAAAACGCGCGCCTTTTATCATCCAAGCCGACTCATTATAAAATCTTCCCGCCGCTTTCTCGATACCTTTCTCATTCGCTTTGTTATTTTCACTACGTTCGGTTAGAAATAAGAGCGAGACTTCCTCCGTCTGACAGAAACTTCCCATCATGCACTGCTACGACCGTAGCCAATCACTTTCTCAGTAGGGGTCTTTCACATTCCCCCGTCTCTCTCTGTCGTTCTGTCTGTTTCACTCTAACCCCCCGCCGCGTTCAGATCTAATTTGCTGGACCAGACCTTTTAAATCAAACTGATGGAGTTCCTGACTGATGAATCAACCCAAGCGTGCGTTTTTAACTGCTCCTTCGATGGCAAGCCACTCAATCTCTTCACACGAGGGCCGTGAGAGACTTTCTCATCCAACGGTCCCTTCAGAGCCAAATCGCTCATGGTTCCTTTTGCATTGACAAGCAGTTTCATACAGATTTAAAGACCATAACTGACGTTTTCATTAATAACGACTACTATAATGATATATTTACTGGGTAAGAGTGATTAAAGGAGCCATAACTTACACTTTTTCATAATCATTTTCTATACTAAGTGGGAAATACTTGTGATTCTAGTCACAATATGACCTTTTCCGTGTGCAAATATTCCCGGGCTTCGATATTCACGTCAATCAAGTGTCTAAAACGCTGTTTCAGGCTCAAGTTGAGCTTGTGAATTTCTAGAAAGCATCACAGGTGGCTGTTGATACCGCACTTTCCTCTGTGCTTTTGGATGTTGTGTCTGAATTATGCTCCATATGCTGTGAGAATGTGTATTTTTATGAAAGAAATAAGTAGGAAATTACAAGGGAATATGGAGGAAACACACTAATGAGTTTGAACTAAACACGATGGCATCTGAGAGCACAACAATTACAATAATGGTTATAAAAAGAGATTTTTAACAATTGTATAAGTAAAATTGTACATTTTAGAGAGCTTTATCCATCATACCTGTTTCAGAAGTGTGTAGTTTGATCCATCCAAACTGATCTTTCGGATTTCGTGATGGTCAGCTAGAATAAGAAAAGGCTCCTCTGCTGGAAAAGAAGAAAAAAAGTGTTTTATTTAAACATTTTATGCAATGCATGAAATATTTTATTTATATATTTTAAAATATTTTTATTTTATATTTTATTTTATTTAATGCGATGCATAAAATATTTTTGTATTTTACTATATTTATTGCATAAATTATTTTAATTTATACATTTTTTTTATTTTTAGTGTATTTTTTAAAATATATATTTCATGCAAGATAAAACATTTTCCCCACAACATTTCTTCAGAACATTAAATTGTTTATTACCTGAAAAACAAAAAGCAAAACTCTTTCTTTAATCCTATAAGTGAATAACAAAGTACTTAGGATTTTGTAATTTTCAGTTATATGGATGTATTGGGATTCCAAATACTTTAAAAAGCCTTTAAATAAGTGTTTGTGTTGCTCTATGGATTATTCTGGCAGCGAGACATGACTGCAACTTCAGTTTGACGACTTGAAATCAATTTCCTGTGAGCTGCCAACACTTGAACATCCACTTCCTGTCAAGTCTGGGACTTAGACTTGTCAGTCATACGAAAAAAGGGCTTTATTACTTGAGTGTATGTGTTTGTGTGTGTGTGTGTAGGCGCATGTCTTTGAAGGAGAGACACTTGCAAAACACTTTGCACAAAAACAGTACTGTAGCAGTACAGGGATGGTATCAAATGCTACTTTGTTATACTAACATATATATATATATATATATTAGGGCTGTCAATCGATTAAAATATGTAATCGTGATTAATCGCATGATTGTCATGAGTTAAGATTAATCGCAACTTAAATCGCACATTTTTTATCTGTTCTAAATGTACCTTAAATTAATACTTTTCAAGTTTTTAATACTCTAATCAACATGGGCATGGACAAATAAGGATGCTTTATCCAAATGTATGTTTATCATTAGTGAAACCATAGTCAACAGAGCCTGAAGACTAGACATGTTTCACAGGTCATAGACGGTTTTCAAAAAACTTGTTCATGTCTATTAGACACATGATAAAAAGAACATAGTGCAAAGAGAAGTAATGGGAACCTGGTATTTCTGAGCAATTTACTTACACAAGCCTGTTTACATTTTCACACGACAGGGCAGCTCGCTTCTTCTGAACATGATGCACATTTATTATTTATTATTACCTTTGTTTGTCTCTCTGTGCACACAAACTGTATTTTGATGTAGCTAAATTCTCAATAAAACAGTTTTTATTTTTATATTTTACTGTTTCTGTTGTCAGACAACGGGATGAATATGAAATAGTGACTGAAACACGACCCATTAAGACTACATAACCAGCTCTCTCTTCCAAGATGTTAATAATACACATAAGATAAAGACAATAGCTGTGCTGTGATTTCAACTATACTTGCATGTAAAATTTAAAGCAACATAATATCTGTTTTAACTGAAAGCGCTGCTCCTCTCCACCGCTCGCTGAACAGAGCGGACGCAGAGAGATTGGGCGTTAATAAAATGAGTGCTGTTAAAATTTATTTGCGTTAACACGTTATTAACACTAATTAAGTTTGACAGCCCTGATTTTTTTAGGATTCAGTTTTAGGATTCAATTTCAGATTACAGACCTCGTGCTCAAGGCCATGAAAAACAAAAATCTGCTTATATACATAAATATTTTTCAAATATGAATTGTCCACTATTAAAAAACAACAATATGGTGACAGGGTTGACATTTTAAGGCACTTTAAAAGGATAAAGCAATACAACTTAACTTTCTTTAGACAAAGCATGTTTAAAACATTAGAAAATGTGTTTTTATATTATATAATTATATTTATATTTGAATTATATTGCTTAAAATAAACATCAGTTGTTCTCTATACAATATTATGGTAACAGGGTTCATGTTTTAAGACACTTTAAAAAGATAAAGCAATAAAACCTTTTTTTTCTTTTTTGGTTTGATAATGTGTTTTTAAAACATTAAAAATATTTTAAAATATTATATAATTCTATGCATATTTCAATTATATTACTTAAAAATAAATTAGCGATTGTTCTCGAAACATTATCATGGCAACAGGGTTGATATTTTAAGATGTTTTAAAAAAAAATAAAGCAATAGAATGTATGAGACTTTAGCTTGTCTTTGATGGGTTAATATTTTAAACTATTATATAATTATATGTATATTTCAATTATATTATATTACTTAACAAATAAATGAACGATTGTTCTCGAAACATTATCATGGTAACAGGGTTGATATTTTAAGATGCTTTAAAAATAGAGTGTATGAGACTTAAGCTCGTATTTGATGGGTTTGCTTAATAAAAGTATTATGATGACATTATTATTAAATATGTTATTTATAAAATCGGTAATGGAAAAATATTTACATCATGGTAACAGGGTTGATGCATTCTTTTTAGTAACGCAGTCAATTGAAACCTAAAAAACATTAGGACACAATAAAACAAAATACTAGCTTTATTTCTATGTATTTTTTTTCATCAAAATTTGTAAACAAAAAAGTAAACAAAGTAAAATTTGGTAGGGGAAGATAGATCCCCAATTATCCCTATCAATAGAAAAATGGGAAAAACTAAGCTAAACAAAAAATAAATAAATAAATAAAATAAAAATGTCTGCATTAACACACAACCTATTTTGTAGATTTTTTGTAGAATCCTATGGTACATGTTCAAATATGGTATCATATATGGTATTATCATAGGATATTATATATGGTATTAACATAGTACCTTGTTAAAAAGGCAATTGTAATTGTAAATGGTGGTCTTCGGCAGATTTCATTAGCAGCTTCTTTGCATGTCAGCAGTGTTTGCGAGCGTACACTAAACGAGTGAATAAAAACGTCTTTCTTTTATACAGTAAATAACTGCAGGCAGATGCCATATGTCACACCTGGATTTTCTCTTAGCCAATCAGAGCTCATCTCCAGCTGACGAACTAATTATCTTCAACCTCCTGTTGCTTTCCTCTAAATATAAGTCACAACAAGACTCACTATGCGTGTTCTCGCCCGTGCGGGGTGTTTCTGGGCAAGTGTGACAGTAAAATCTCTTTGTGAGGGTCCACAGGAGCTCATTCACACCTGTGCTGCTGAATAGAGCAGAGTACCTGAGAGAGACCTGCAGCTGTGCGGGTTACTGGCAGGACGCTGGTACCCGTCGGCACACAGGCAGTGAAAAGACCCGTAGGTGTTGATGCACTGGTGACTGCAGGGAAAGTTCTCGGAACATTCGTCCACGTCAATGCAGGTCCTGCCGTCGTTTTTCAGACGAAACCCCGGCCAACACGTACACTAGAGAAGAAAGTAAAAAACAAAGATTTGTGGGTGAATCTCACAGAACTCTGCCAAGAACATGTATGGGTTATTTCACAACAAAATATAAATAAATTACCTTTAATATATAATTATAACGAATTAAAAACATATAAATATGTTTTTCAATACATTTTACTGAAATGTTTTGAAATGTTATATATTATATTTCAGTTATGTTACATTAATTAACATAAAACAAAATAGATTAAATTTCTCATTAGATGTTAAATATAAGCCATGGTTTTCCAATGCTGTGGAATCAGGAACTCAGAAATGAAATTAAATGAAATAAAATAAAGTTACATAACACAAAATATTATTAGTAGTAGTAGTAGTAGTATTAATAAACTAAATAAATCAATACATAAATAATGTTTGTTATATAATATTAATAATATTATTGTATTACTGGTATTTTTATTTTATATTATATGATATTACTAACAAAAAATTAATTGCAATGAAAAAAGTCTTAATGGTCCTTAAAATATGCATAATTTATTTCAGATAATCAGATTTATTATTTTATTATTACTTTTTAACATATAAATTAATTTTATATAATTTCTTAATTAAAGTTTCTATTAAATGTCTGGGTGAAATATGACCATGACAAATTTTCATGTGATTCACTCTAATACTAAAATATGCATAATTTATAAAAAATTTATTTTTTATATATATTTTAAACTATTTTAATTTATAACTGTATTTGAATAATTTTAGAATTTCTTCATCAAATTTTTGATTTGACTTTAAGGTAAAATATGACAATGCCAAATTTATATAAAATTCACTCTAATACTAATGAGAGACTAATGGACAGGAAGTGAGCAGTGAAACAAAACGATGTTTACAAAGTTTCTAGACCATTAGTTTAGTCATTAGTCATTCATTAAAACGATGCTTTATATTTTAATTATGCTGTAACAAAAGCTAAAACAAGCCAGAAAAACAAAGTTCTAGTAAGTTTGGAGCCGCCGTGTCCTTGACTGCCGGTTTTTAAAGTCAGTGTGGCTGTCAAACGACCGGCCCAGTATTCTGAGATATCAGCCAAACGAAGCTGTTCGATCTGCCACTCACTGTGTGTGTGTGTGTGTGTGTGTACTGGTTTATATATCCTGGTGGGGACTTAAACCTGACTACACACAGACTCATGGGGAGTCGTGTCACGGTGGGGACCTAAATTGTGGTCCCCACGGGTACAAAAGCTTATAAATCATACAGAATTAAGTTTTTTTGAAAATCTAAAAATGCAGAAAGTTTCCTGTGAGGGGTAGGTTTAGGGGTAGGGTTGGTGTAGGGCAATAGAATATACGGTCTGTACAGTAGAAAAACCATTACGCCTATGGAGAGTCCCCACAAGGATAGCTGACTGTGTGTGTGTGTGTCATTTTCCCACTAAAAACACACACTGTTTGTGTATCTCAAGCACTGAATAGCTAGCCTACGTGTTTTAGCTCTCTTGTTTATACATTCACTGGTTAAACGTAAACTGACTGGAAATGGGATCATAACATTCTCCACGGATTTAGCACTAAGTTTTATAAACCTCTGTGGAATGTAAAAACATTATTACTTCGAATGATTTGTTTGCGCAGACTTTCCCAATATTGTCGTAGCCTGCTAATGATGTTTAGCGAAGATTTGTTTAAAAAACAAAAACATTCTTTTGTATTCATAGGTCGTAGTTTCATGTGTGGATGTCTTTAGAGCGGAAGTTGAACCAGATGCTTAATTCGTAAAAATAAAAACCTTGTACAGCGTGACAAATGTGCTTCAAACACACCTTGTATCCCACGGGTAGGTCTTGACAGTCCTGGGTACAGCCGCTGACTTTACGGTTCAAACACTCGTTAACGTGGCAGTTCCTCTCGTCGGATCGGTCGCCGCAGTCGTCGTGCTGATTACACACGCTCCCCAGCGGGACGCAGCGGCCGTTTGCGCACATGAAAACCGAACCGTTGCACAAACTTTCTAAAACATGGAGCAGCGGGAAAAAAGGGGGAGACAGAAATCAACAAAACCATCAGATTAGATACACAGAACTTGAGTGGTTGCTAGGGTGCTCTGGACAGACTGTAGCACGTTTCTATGCCTTACCTCTGGCTGCTATGTGGTTGCTAGGGTGTTCTGAGAGCTTTACAGCCTGTTTTGTTATGGTGTTCTTTGTTTTTTCAATATGTTGCAACTGTATGTGGTTGCTAGGGTGTTCTAGGTGGTTTTGGCACTTTGCTATGGTGTTCTTGGTGGTTTTCAATATGTTGCTACTGTATTTGGTTGCTAGGGTGTTCTAGGTGGTTTTGGCACTTTGCTATGGTGTTCTTGGTGGTTTTCAATATGTTGCTACTGTATTTGGTTGCTAGGGTGTTCTAGGTGGTTTTGGCAATTTGCTATGGTGTTCTTCAATGTGTTGCTACTGTGCTAGGTTCTGGTTGGTTGCTAGAATGTTGCTTAATGGTCCAAGTCAAAAGAGCCTTATTACTATTTTTAAGTTGTACTGTAAACATGTTGTACAACTGAACTGAATTTCCCACCAGAAATATAAACATAAAACTGTTGCTTAATGAGCTTGGTTGGGAACAGTATTGGCATCTGTTAACATTAATGGCATATGTTTGCCCTGAAACCAAAAATTGAAGAACAGAGGCACAGCAGCTTCATCAGCCCCTCTCAGCCCAGCTCAGGTGGTACTGGCAGGGGTACAGGACGCAAACGGGGAGGACCAGGTGTTCTGACAAATCCCATATGGGACGGAACCTGGGGACCTGTCAGTCAAATGGGATGCATGACACATGAGAGGGACTCGCCTGCAGCGGAACACTTTGGGTTGAGTGGCAGCTCGTCCGATTGGTCCAAACAATCGGGGAAGCCATCACACTCCCATTGGGCTCTCAATAAACACCGCCCATCTGCGCAGCGGAACTCCTCCTCTTTGCATAAACGATATTCTGTTGAAAAAGAGAGCGAAAGAGTATGAGAGGGAGAGAATTTAAACAACGGGGGGCAAAAAGTTCAAGCTGTTACTGTTTCAAATAGGTAGGCATGATATTTCAGTCACCATTATTATTGAGTTTAAACAAGAAATATAGTCACTGATATAAATTCGCAATTGTGAGATGTCACAGTAAAAAAAGTCACAATTATAAGAAATACTCAGACTGCAAGACAAAGTCATTTTTTTGTGATAAAAAACCACAATGGGAGACAAATTATGATAAAAGTCATTGCGAGATATAGTCATATCGCCAAAATGACTGTAATTGTGAGAAATACATCGAGAAGAAAGAATTACATTTTGTGATATAAAAAGTCGAAATGGGACACAAAGTCGCAAATTGTGAGAAACAGTCACATTGCGAGATATAAAACTCGCAATATTTTATATTTTTTTATTTTAAAAAATCATTGTGAAACAAAATCTAAATTGCGAGAAATGCATTGAGAGATTTAAAGTCATATATTGAAATATAAAGTCACCAGTAGGACAATACATTTGCAATTATTAAATAAAGAAAAATAATCGCAATTGCTAAAAATAGTCATATTGAGAGAAATACAGATACGTTTTGTGTTATAAAGTCACACTGCAAGATATAAAACCTCACTGGAGACAAAAATATATTTGTGAAAAAAATAATCGCAATTGCGAGAAATATGTGAAGAGAAATAAAGTCACAAATGGGACATATGAAGTCACAATTATGACAAAAAAAAATCTAAATTATATAGATATATAAAGTGATATATAGCAAATTATGAGAAAAAAAAGTGGCATATATGAGAAAAATCAAGTTGTGAGATTTAAAGTCACATTTTGAGATGGGACATATGAAGTTTCAATTATTAGAAAAAAAACACAATTATTATTGTCAAAATAATACCTTTTACATAAGACAAAAAAGCAGATTTTAGGACCATAGAAATGTTGCACTTTGGCATTATTTCAATGTTAATTAAGCACATTTTCACTTAACTTTACTCACTTAAATTTATGCTGATTTTAAAATAACTTAAGAAATTAAAAATAACTATTGGAGTATCCTTTCTAAATTACATTTATATTCTTTAATTTATTTATTTATTTTTGTATGCAACTTTATGCAAAAATGTTTTTTTTTTTGGGTTGATTTTCTTTTCGATTTTGTGGTAAAATGCGACCCAGACAGGTTTGTGAGTTCCTTCCTCATAGATAACAATAAAAAGTGTGAAGAGTAGCCTATATTTCCATCAATTATTCTGAATGAGCATGTTTATTCTTAGATCTGAGGTATGGGGCATTGAGTTATGCATGCATTCCAAACGCTAAAACGTCCAATTAATGTTGTGCCAACACAATTACAACCCATTAAACAGGCCGCAAAGGGATGGTCATTTTCAACAGAAAGTAATGAATTGAGAAACCGGAGCTGCTCACCGCATTCCAGAGACTCGTCAGAACCATCCCCGCAGTCGTCGTCATGGTCACACACGAAACGCCGCGGGACACAGTTCTGGTTCCGGCACTGGAACGTGCTCTCGGTGCACGTGTTGTTCGGAGCTTATTAAAGAGAGGAACAGGAACAAACAGGACATTAGGTATGTGTTAGGATAAAAAGAATAGCACATAACAGACACCTGAGACTTGTCTCAAATCCCCAATTATTTTAGTTGTGACTCTGAAAATTCAGGGACAGCAGATGAAAAGAAGATATTTTGGGTAAATTTGGCACCTTGTTATCCAACAGTGGTGTTAACAGTGTTCACTGTTTCAGATTGCAAATTTTAAACATAAACATAAGTAACATGAATCCAGTCAAATATGTCCAAACCTTTGACAGATGCATTCATTTACTAACTTCATCACTATTGCAAAAAGCAGCAATTACGTTACCACACTGCAGTTTGGGGTGAAAATAGGAACAGGAAGATGCTGGTTTTGTGAAAGGAAATATAATGTTTGAAATTACCACAGCCAGATACCGCTAGTTCATCGCTACCATCGGGACAATCTCTCTCCCCATCACATAACCAGTTCCTGGGTACACAAGCGTACGATCCTGGGCAACTGAACAAACCGGGGGCGCATGTTGCCGAGCCTGTCAAGAAAAAAAGAGATTGAGCATCGCAATCTCAAGCCAACATGCTGCCATTAATGAATATTCATTTGTTTAAAAACAAAAACTTTCTCGAAATAATTGATAAAGTTTAAGCATTGTCTTGAGAACTTGTTTAACAATCTGTTTGTGTTTGACCTTTGAGAGACCTGAGTTTTTTTTTTTTTCAGAGCCCATTTGTTAGGAGCACAGCGTGGCCATAAATTCACAACTATGATGAAACCGCAGGCCAATTTTTCTTCCCGCCTCTTTCGTGTTGATTTATATCCTTGCTCTCAGAGGAAGTCTTTCATTGTGTGGCCTAAATGCAAATACGTGCTTCAGAGTTTTACCGCAAATTTCCTCGCTTTCGTCCAATCCGTCACCGCAGTCGTCCTCCCCGTCACAGAGCCACTGTTTGGCGATGCACTTGTTTTTTGAGCAGGCGAACTGATTCCAAAGGCACGATGAATCTAGAGGGAAAAGTTTGAACTTTGAAAATAAACCCACGGGAGGCAGTACTGACATTTAAGGAACGGTACAAACAAAAATGTTGATTCTTTCATCATTTATGTTGTTTTAAACCACTTTGGCTTTAGTTCTTTCATAGAACACAAATGTTCACACTGCTCTTTTTCCAAATATAAAGGGATAAATAGAAATAAAACACATTAAAATGTGTAAACATTTTATCTTGTGGTCCAGGAAAGAAAAAGTCATACGGGTTTGGAAAGACATAAAGGTGAATAAATAATAACAGAATTTTTATTTTGGCAGGAAAACTACAAAGTAAATAAATAAACCCTATAATAACCAAAATAAAACATGTACAACAATATTTTATAATTATATATTAAGAAATAATTAAGAAAAAAGTCAGAGAGGTTTGAAAAGAGAGTGAATGAATAAATGACCGAATTTTCATTTTGGCGGGAAACTAAAGTACATTATATTTGTAACCTGTTACAACCAAAATAAAACACACAAAAAAATATCTAAATATGTTATGTTGTGCTCCAAGAAAGAAAAAGCCATATGGGTTTGAAATGACATGAATTATATCCTATAATAAGCAAAATGAAAGTGAAAACACTTCAATAGTTATAAGTTTGCCTTTGAAAGCCAAATTGAGTGCAATATCTGAGGAAAGTGGCATCTAAAAGCCCTCTTCGCCCTTGTTGGGATTAGAGATTCAACTTTGGAAGGCGATCGTGCTAGCAAGCACTTTTAAAGTAATTGTCCACTTGCATACGCACGCGAGCCACGAAAGCTGCGAGCAAATATGCCCCTATCAGCAGTCTGAAAGTTTGTTTGCTTGCGTTTGCCATGGATTTTGTGATATCTCTGCAAAGCCACCGGGGGCTGGGACAGAGAGAACAAGGTCACCAAGAGAAAGGTTTTAAAAAGTGACACCAAAAGGGCTGAAGACAACGAAAGCGAAGAGGATGAATAGGTAAATGAGGGTCATTCTTCAAAACCTGCCTTACGGGAAGTCTCAAAAGAACAAATAACCAAAATGAAAGGTGAAAAAGCACCGGCACATTCGTCAAGATCAAGGACACGGAAACAAATCCATATTACTTCTGATTTTGGGTCAGTGACTACGAGGTCGCTGCGCGGTCCAGAGTTGTGCTGGCTTCACGGGAGCTTCAGTCGCAGTTCAGAGTTCTTGCTCAGAATAAGACGCTTTGAAGCGGAACCAAAAGGATTCCCGGCACGGGGTCGGGACAGAAGCAAAGCAAAGCAAAGACTGGTCGCAGCAGGAAAGCAGAACTTCCTAGAACTTCCTACTCTACAGTTCTGCTCACTTTAGAGGTACATCACAAGGGAAACATGAATGTCGATAAGATTAATAATTATACAACACATTATAGCAAGATGTGGCTGGAATGACCCTTCACCTAAAGTTATACAGTTGTTCAAGTAACTTTCTTTAAAGATATATTGAAATTCATCTAAATATCCCCCGTAAGCATATCCTGAAATTGCAAGAAATAATTTATAATAATATAAGTCATCATAATTATGAGAAACAGTCGCAATGTGAGATATAAAGCAGAATTGTGAAAATATATAGTCACATTGCGAGATATATAGACGTATTGTGAGATATAGTAACAATTAAGTCACTATTAAGAGAAATAAAGTCACATAGCAAGACTTAAAGTCACCATGGGAAATATAAGTCCCAAATTGTGAGAAATAAAGCCAAAAATCATATTGCGAGATATAAAGCAGAATTGCTAGATATATAGACATACTGTGAGACAGAGTAGCAATACTGGAAAAAAAAATAAATTCACTATGACAAGAAATAAAGTTATATTGCGAGACTTAAAGCCGCTGTAGAATATATAAAGCCACAAATTGTAAGAAATAAGAAATGATCGCATTACAAGATTTAAAGCACAGCAAGATATATAGTCATATTGTAAGATATAGTAATTTTACAAAGAAAAATAATCGTTGGTATAAAAAGAAATAAAGACAGACATAAAGTCACCATGGGAGACTTAAATTTGCAAATTGCAAAAAATAAAGAGGTACAAAGTCACATTATGGAATATAAAGCAGTATTGAAAGATATATAGTCATATTGTCAGATACAGTAGCAATTTTAGAAGACAATGTCACTACAAGAAATTAAGTCACACTGTGAGATTTAAAGTCACATTTTCAGTTATACATTCAGAATGGCTATAACAAGAAATAAAGTCACATTGCGAGACTTAAAGTCACCACTGAAGACATAATGTCATAAATTGTGAGAAATAATGTCATAATTATGAGCAGCACTGCAAGATATACAGTCAAATTGTGGGATATAGCAATTCTACAAAACAAATTACGACACATTGCGAGTCACATTTTCAGATATAAAGTTACCACAGGAGATGTATATTCACAAATTGAGAAAAATAAAGAGGAATAAAGTTGCACTGTGAGATAATGCAGCACTGCAAGATATATAGTCATACTGCAAGGTATAGTAGCAACTTTAAAAGAAAATGTTGCTATAACGAGAAATAAAGTCCCATTGCGAGATTTAAAGTTACATTTTCAGTTATAAAGTCATCATGGCTATAAAGTCATAATTACAGAAATAATATTGCATTGCGAGATATAAAGCAGCATTGCGAGATACAGTATATAGACATAATATGAGATATAGTACCAATTCTGGAAAAAAATATATAATCACTATATCGAGAAATAAAGCCACGTTGCCCGATTTAAAGTCACCATGGAAGCCAAAAAGTTACAAATTGTAAGAAATAAAATCATAATTATGAGAAATAGTCACATTAAAATATAAAGCAGAATTGTGAGACATAATAGCAATTCCAAAAAATAGTCTCTATAATGAGAAATAAAGTCACATGCAAGATTTAAAATCACATTTTGAGACATGAAGTCACCATGGGGGATATACAGTGCTGTGAAAAGGTTTTTGCCCCCTTCCTGTTTTTTTCAATTTTTTGCATATTTGTCACACTTAAAAGATTCAGATCATCAAATAAATTTTAATATTACACAAAGATAATGCAAGTAAATACAAAATGCAGTTTTTAAATGATGATTTAATTTATTAAAGGAAAAAAGCTGTCCAAATCTACGTGGCCCTACGTGAAAAATTAATTGCCCCCTCCTGTTAAATCATGAAAGAACTGCAATTAACCACATTATTTTCGAAAGCTGAGTTAAATTTCACTAGCCACACCCAGGCCTGATTACTGCCAAGTTGACGTGTATCAGTCTGGAAAGGATTATAAAGCCATTTCTAAGGCTTTGGGACTCCAGCGAACCATAGTCAGAGCTATTATCCACAAATTGAGAAAACTTGGAACAGTGTTGAACCTTCCCAGGAGTTGCCGGCCAACCAAAATTACTCCAAGAGCACAACGACGACTCATCCAGGAGGTCATAAAAGAACCCAGAACAATATCTAAAGAACTGCAGGCCTCACTTGCCTCAATTCGGGTCAGTGTTCATGATTCAACAATAAGAAAGAGACTGGGCAAAAACGGCATCCATGTGAGTGTTCCAAGGCAAAAGCCACTGCTGACCAAAAAGAACACAAAGGCTCGTCTCTCATTTGCCAAAAAATATCTTGATGATCCCCAAGACTTTTGGGAAAGTATTCTGTGGACTGATGAGACAAAAGTTGATCTTTTTGGAAGGTGTGTGTCCCGTTACATCTGGCGTAAAACCAACAGAGCATTTCATAAAAAGAACATCATACCAAGAGTCAAACATGGTGGTGGTAGTGTGATGGTCTGGGGCTGCTTTGCAGCTTCAGGACCTGGACGACTTGCCATAATTGACGGAAGCATGAATTCTGCACTCTATCAGAAAATCCTGAAGGTGAATGTCCGGCCATCAGTTTGTGACCTCAAGCTCAAGCGCACTTGGGTTATGTAGCAGGACAATGATCCCAAACACACCAGCAAGTCCACCTCTGAATGACTCAAGAAAAACTAAATTAAGGTTTTGGAGTGGCCAAATCAAAGTCCGGACTTAAATCCGATTGAGATGCTTAAACAGTCCATTCATGCTCGAAAACCCTCCAATGTGGCTGAATTAAAACAATTCTGCAAAGAAGAGTGGGCCGAAATTCCTCCACAGCGATGTGAAAGACTCATTGCCAGTTATCGCAAACACTTGATTGCAGTTGTTGCTGCAAAGCGTGGCACAACCAGTTATTAGATTTCAGTTATTAGATTTTTTTTCCCTTAATAAAAGAAATCATCATTTAAAAACTGCATTTTGCATTTACTTGCATTATCTCTGTGTAATATTAACATTTGTTTGATGATCTGAATCTTTTAAGTGTGACAAATATGCAAAAAATAAAAAAACAGGAAGGGGGCAAAAACCTTTTCACACCACTGTACATTTTAAGAAATAATTATGTGAAATACAGTAACATTGCAACATATAATGCAGCATTGCGAGAATTCTAAAAAAATAAATTACGAGAAAAAAAGTCACATTTTAAAATGCAAAGTCACAAATGAGACATAAACTCGCAATTATATGGAAAAAGTTGCAATTATGAGAATATAATTAGCTTTTTTGTTTTTACCCTGAAGTGGAAATGAGCTTCAATAAAATGCAATCACATAAAAGTACGAGCTTATAAGACTTCTACAATAATTTGTCTGGAATTTGAAATAACTTTTAGATAAAAGCGTAACTGTAACTCTCTAAAGCCAGGAATGTCAAGCAGCTAAACTCTCACATTTAGCACTTACCACATACTAGCCGTGACAAGTGGATCAATAGAGCAAAATAGCACTTACGTTCTAATGGTGGTGCGTGACTTGAAGATAAATAAAGTCTTCAGACGTGAATATATTCATTAGAATGACATATAGAGCACACAATGTGTCCGGCAGGCCTGACCAGTTGAAGAATGTAGAAATGTGGCGCTCACCGCATTGAAATTCATCCGCTCCGTCCTCGCAGTCTTTCTGTCCATCGCACAACCAGACGCTGGAGATGCAGTTTCCACTGGGACATGCAAAATGGCCGTCCTCACATGTATGAATTGAAGAAGCTGGGAGAAATGCCAAAATGAAGAAAATGAGGGTTAAGAGGAACCTGTAGAAAACCATCTGAAGTTCTTACTTTCAACAATTACCAAAGGGTTTGCTAGGTTCACCACTATTTTGAGAAAATAAAAAGGATGGGAACATGCTGTAAACAAATCAATTGTATGACCTCTAAATGTCTACCTCAGCTTCAGTTATCCAATTTGTTATCTGTGGTTTTGTATTTGCGTTTGGATTCTGACTTGCGTATCAAGGATGCATCTCCTTGAGTAAAAGTCTGAGTTTTTGTTTTCTATAGGATAGGAGCGACCTTTTGAAATCATAAATGGGTGTTTACAGGAACTTTGATGTCCCTATGCATTGATTTTTATTACAAAATTTTGTTTTTCTTTGCTGTGTAAAGACTCTAAAACTGTCTAAGAAAACCGTTTAATATGGTATCATTCATATGATACTTTTCCTTTATATATTATTTTGTTTTACCGTTTTTTCCAAGACCAATAATTTTTTCCAAGAAGTTTAAATCTTAAAATATCAAAGTACAATAAAAAAAACAACTATTTTTTAACTATGATAATTAAAGCAAAAGTGAAAAACATTTAAATGTATAGACATGTATATAACAAATATGCATGGATACAAATACACGTGAATATATATTCTGTCATCAACACATAAAATGGTCATAATCGAACCTGTAGAGAAATAAAAAAATAAACATTTTGTTGTTGTCAAATCAAAATTATTATAGGGATTTATTTATTTATTTATTTCAGTTGCTAATTAATAACCCTGAAAAAAATCTGCCACATGTTGCATTGACTTTATATATTATTATTGTGTAAACTAATAAATGAAGTGAATAAATTATCATTTACAATTCAAATTCAATTGTGATCATTAAAAGGTCTGTGTAAAAAATATATATATATATATAAAAAAAAAATTGTGACTTGTTGATGCTACAGTTTAATTTATACACATTCTGTGTATTTTTATATATATACTACACTATGTCAGAATGTGAATACATTTCATTTACATTTAGTCATTTAGCAGCGACTAAATGAATGAATGAATGAATGAAACTGTAGCATCAACAAGTCACAATAAAAAATTCACACATGATCATTAGCAACCCGCTTCTACCACAATTCCTTCATTGACATTCCCTAACTTGCAGATTTCAAAGACAAATCCAACTTTCCAACTTTTAATTACAGCATTGCGATGACGTTTATACGTGCTCAGCTCATAAATTCTGACAGGACTGTAAAGTTCCGCAAAAAAATTCTACACACTCATCGACTTCCAGAGTTCTGTTTCACTCAGCCACAAGGACTTATTAAGTCACTAAATATTCTCAGTAGGTCCTGGGCTTTCTACATATATCATAAATATCTAAGTATAATACTGTCAAATATTTGGCAGGACTCAGTGTGATTGAGTCAAAAAAGTCCACATTTCACAGCCTCATAAAAGGCTCTGGCGATGTGAGCCGTCACTGCACCGCAATGCAAACTTTGTAAAAATTCCCTTTGTTCCCAGTACTATTTTCCATTCTTAATGTGACAACATTGTACTTTGAACACAAACAAACAAGAGAAAGACAGTCCGGGGGAGAGAATGCAAATGCATTTCTACCGTGGCAGTGTATTTCGTCTGCGTAATCCCCACAGTCGTTGGCTCCATCACAGATCCAGGAGGGATGAACACACAGCGACGTGGAATTGCAGCTTAGAAACCTTTCACTGTTGCTGGCACGAGAACCCAATCTGTAGTATTCCATGCAGTCTGTGCTATCTGGAAACAGAGAGGACAATGAGACGAGTGTTTCACACGTTAAGTGACACACAAACACACACCTCCAGAAGTGCGAACGGGCTAGCGCCTTTACACATGTTAATCTTACTACAGCTTTTCTCGTCCGATGTGTCAGCGCAATCGATGATCTGATTACACCAGGATGATGCAGGAATACAGGCACCATCTGCACAACGTCGATCAGAGGACGAACACGAGGAATCTGGAACCAGAAGGGAAAAAAGCAGATTAACTAGATACACCTTAAAGCATACAAAAACAATTTAAATGAAGTCAAACCACTTTTAAGAAAACCAAAATGCTTTAAATAAAGTCAGACCACTTTTAAGCAAATCAAAATGCTTTATATCAAATAATTTTAAAGCAAACCAAAATGCTTTGAATAAGGTTAGACCACTTTAAAGGGGTCATATGATGCGATTTCAATTTTTCCTTTCTCTTTGGAGTGTTATAAGCTCTTGGTGCATAAAGAAGATCTGTAAAGTTGCAAAGTCTAAAGTCTCAAATCCAAAGAGATATTCTTTATAAAAGTTAAGAGTCAACCACGCCTACCTAAAACACCTCGTTCTAACACGCCCCACATGTCTACGTCACGATGTGGGAAGATTTGCATAACGCCGCCCAAATGTTCACGCAAAGAAAGGAGGAGTAACTTTTATTCTAGCTGTAGTATTGTTGCTGCCGCCATGTCGTGAAGACGCTGTGTTTCGTTGTGAAAGTGAAACTACTTTGTTTGGTCTTCCAAAAGAGGACGATATCTGCTTCGTCATGCTTAGAGCTGATCCGCGCTGGTAGCTGAGGAAATACATCAACTTCGCGCTGTGGATCACAGGA